GCGTACTATGTGTCTTTAAGAGCGCGTGGAAATAATGTTGAAGGGAAGAACAGTTGGAATCGAACGGCTTTATGTTGGGCGAATGGGGCGATTGAACCCAGGTCTCAGTATTGTTTGTGTCCCAGCACAATACAGTTACTCGGGGTCTGGCACTATGACGAGCAACGGTGGCCTTCTTGTAGTTGTGTGGTATCATCCATTTGTCGATCGACACCGACAGCAACGATTTCATTCTCTGTATAGAGCCGCCTAAAAGCCACAGTGTGGGAATCCTTCGCTATGATGATCATCCACTTGCGCCCACGTAACTCCTCATGGTAGAACTCGGGCGGCTTCTCATCTGCATTCATACAAAATTGACGATTGTGAGTTGGCTCGAGGTCCAAGACCACCCATATTTCATCTAGGGCCGGGGTGCGTTTTCACAGTCGTGAATGACATCTCATGCTGAGAACATTACTGCTAGAGTCGGTACTGCGTTCGTGCTTCTATAAGAAAATTAGGTACCCTTGCGCACACCGCGGGAGGCTCGACAAAGGTCCAGGCTCTGTGATCAGACATTCAGCGCTTGACTTCATCCACCCTTTTTTCTTGTGCAGGATGAACATTATGGGACCATCCACGACAACAAATTTTTTCCTTTCTTCCTTCTTCGGGCTCCTGAACCAAACCTTCCACCTTGTATATCGAGAACACCATTACAACAACTACTGGTCTAGCGCCGGTCGTTGAGCAGCGCACTTCCCTCTTATGACGTCTGATTTGAAAATCGGGCGCTGATTTTCACCACTCGGGCTTCTTTTCAATTTCTCGAGAACTTCTCTGTGGGTAGGTTCGCCAAATTTCACAGATACACAGCTAAAGGTACTAGCCTCCAAATGGTATAGTAGCCCGCTTCCCTATCCCCTTTGCTTTTCTGCCATTCCTCTATATGTCTCGGCACTTTTGAATGGGATGATCTAATAGTTTCCGCTGAGAGAAGATGTAGCATTGTTGTATTCGAAAAACCCACCAGGGGATAGTATTTGGCCGCGGGAGATGGGGAGGAGGCCACGAACGCAGAGTCGGTGAGCACTGAACAACGCAAAAGTGCCATCGACAAGTTTACAGAGCGGAGCCAGCGCTGCAGAGAGCCTGGATGTACGGAGGACTACAAAGTATTGAAAGGTATTGATAGTTAGCGTGAGGTAGTAGGACGAAGATGGCTGATTAACCACACAAAGAGCCCGTTTGTATCGACTTCTCCGA